TTTTTTTTCAATAAAAAGAAAAGTATTGTGTGTAATTTTTAATAATGAAGGTATGATTAAACTTTGGAGTTTTAATATATATGAATAGGTGATGAAACCAACCATAGATGATAATGCTTTAATGTGATATTTTTCACAAATATTAAAAACCATAATTGAGGTTAATTTGAAAGAGCAAAAAAAAAAGAGAGAGGTTAATTACAAAGGCAAAACAATTGTGAAAAGATAAAAAGAAAAGGTAAATATTTTTATATTATTCCGTTTAAACAGGAAATATAACCTAATTAAGTTTATCTAAAACAAATATTTTAACGGTTATTCTTAACTTTTTAATATTAATTTTCCTAGTTTCTTTTTAAGTTAAGTATACTAATTTTTAGAAATAAAAAAGTGTAAACATTTTAATATTTATTCGTCATGATGTGAAATTTTATCTCATTCTTGACAACCTAATGAAATTCAACAAAATAAATATTATTTTAAGATCATTCTTAACTTACAATACAAATATTACTTTTAGTAGTTTATTCAATCTAATTATGTTAGTATTGTTTTTTAAGGTTTTTTTTCCAGCTTTTACATATACAATGTATTTTTAACATTAAGTCATTATCGACTAACATATTTAAAAGTGTTTTTCAATCAACTAGATTTAAAAATAATGTCATAAATGATAAAATCAAATATTAACATGTTAAGTCTAATGATTTCAAGATACATAAGTGAATAAAAATATTTATAGATAAAAAAAGTGATGAACATTACAAAAAAAAGAAAGTTTACTAATGAAAGATTTTGTTTCAATACGTTAAATATATATTTCAATCAGAATCTAGTGCATTTCTCTCCAACAAGCTTTTCTGCATTTTTTTTCATTTAGATGTAGAATGATGGATAACGTATTTCTCAATTCTATAACATTCTTTTGATCTACCTTATCCATCTTTTGTGTTTTCATACATTCTTCTTTTTCTTCGTCATTTCACCTCAACATTAATTAAAAATATAATTTTTTTAGTGTAAATAGTTGGAGATTTGAGTTTTCTAATAAAAAATCAAAGTATTTCATCTTAATATTATAATCATAATTAAAGTTAAAGATGATACTCTAATTCATAAATTAAACCACTCAGTTATAGATAAAAAATAACTATAACAATAACTATAAAACATGCAACAGTTTTCAATTAATAAGTAATAATCAATATTTTCGTCCATATCTAAGTTAATAAAACTTTACAAATTGATTAAAAAGTAAACAAATTTGTATGTAAAATTATTATGTAATTTATATAAAGGTTAAATATATAATTTATATAAATATTAAATATGTTTTTAATCTTCAAGAGTTAATGTATAATATATATAAGAAGTAGATTTGATAAGAGTTAATTGACAGTAGTAGTACTTTCGTATTTTGAGGTCAGATTGCATGAAAAAGAGAGA